GCCAAACACAGGGGAACACCTGCATAGCCATCATATCACTCAATTCACTCTTCACTTTGTAGATAGAAAATAGAGCTCAAGGAAGCAGGCACGCAAAGTCGCAAAGTAAGCCAGCGGCAGAGCCAAGACTAGAATATAAGCCTTTTGATATAAGAATTTATTTCTGCTGTACTATGATAGTAGCTAACACTTTCTTATATGGGAGTCAGTGACATATAGATATTGACTATGTATAAAAGCATTGAGCATAATTGAATGATCACGTGTGATTTCATGTCGTATCTGCTGTTGCGATGAAGGAAATTTTTTCTCTCTTAGGCAAGTGTGAATGTCTGAAATTTACTATTATTATTACTGCTACTGTGACCAGTAACAATGTTCTGCATAGACTCAGGGCCACAAACTGTAGATATCTTTTCTCATTCGTTCCACATATAATTGATCTGAGACAAGCAGATTTAGTGTCACCAAGTTCATATTATACATACATAAGGCAGTGATATGATATGCCGAAGCTCACAAAGTCAGTCATTAGCATCCTTGGAATTAGAATTCAAAGTTATAGCCTTAAGAACAATGATAGACCAAATCACTCATTTCCATCTTTTTTCCTGGGATTGTAGTTTTCCTGTGTGAAAAGAAAACTCATGTGATTTTCTTCAGGCTCCCACAGCTTTCTAGTGACAGGGTGAAGAGTATAATTTGAGTCTTAATCTAAGATGTCTTTGCTAGATTGTTATGTTGATAAAAATACAACACATGTTGACATCTAGAAGGAATTACATTGAAGCTGAAGTTATAGCTCCAATGTTTGAACGTCTTTTGCAAAATATTCTGTGTTGGTGTCCCACGATGATAAAACGGGGCTAGTAATATAAGAATAAAGTGGGATGAGAACAGCACCTGTCGTATTCCTGCACTGTATGTGTGTTGTGCTGTTCCTCATATTCACCATTCTGGGAAAATGAACGGAAGAGGAAAGTGAAACAGATGGAGTTAATCTGTCTACAAATTTAGTTTTTATTTCTATTTCCTATTTCAGAGAAACTACTGGGGCAGACCAAATATATAGTCTATAGAAAGTTTTATTACTGCCTCATATCCTTGGGTTAGCGAGTGATTCTGTTCATAACAGAATCTCACGAGGGACAAATATAATAAGGGAATATGATGGCTTACATAATGGCAAAAACTAGAGGAAGGGCTAAGTGAGTCAATAATGCCAACAGGAATGTATTATTTTTATCTTCTAGCTCTACTTTCCTTTGTTTTAGCTTCATTTTCAAGTAGGTTCTCCTTTTGGGGCAGCAAAAATGTCTATCAAAACTTATCTTAATAGGTTTGGTTTTTTTCCCAATAGTTTCACCAAAATGCTCAAAGCTCTCCAGACATCTGGTTTCCCTTGGACAGGCTTAGGTCACCTGCTTACTGTTGGAACCAGTGAGAAGAGTTAGCCCCACTTGGACCTTCAGCACTGAGAACATAGTTATGTTTCTCTCTATTTCTCTTTGTCTCTCTGTCTCCCTCTGTCTCTCTCTGTTTGTCTCTCTGTGCCTGGGATCAAACCCAGGGCTTTGAGGCTGCAAAGTATGAACTCTACCACTGAGCTATGTCCCCAGCCCCTTACCTTCTCTTGAAGACTACATTTTCCTGGGTTTTTTCAACAGGTCATAGATATAGATGATATCTTTGCCATCCTTATTTTTAATAGGAAAAGATTTTAGGGCAAGGTGTACAGGTTGTAAAAACTTTTTAAGTAACAGGTCTTTTACAGATAAGTAAATATAGAGATACAGATCTATTTTTAGATAATTTCTTTCAGTTCCCCAGGTATTCCTTGTTACTCATCCATGACTAATCTATAGCCAGTGATGGTTATAAGCACAACTATTTCAGGATGGGAGCTTTATCTTTATGACTTATATTTTTATAGGTGCCCAATACTGTTTCATCAAGCCTAGAATGTACCTGGTATGATTAGGGGACAGCCACTTCCTCCTTCAAGTCACAGCCACTGGCCTTTGTGGGTGAAATCCATTATTTACATTTGTTTTCCACGTTTGGCTTGGGTGGAACTACTTTCCAGCTGTCACATGTGCAATGCTCACTAACTAACAACCAAATTCACATAATAAGACCAGGAGAGTATGCTTCTAAGTATAACTCATCAGCTGACATTTGTGTAGCACATTCCTGTGTCCCAACTGCTTCCACCTGAACTATCTCAGTCCATTATTGAGGAAGCTTTGGAAGGAGTGTAGGGGAGATAATAATGTTTTTTTTTTTTTTTTTTTTTTTTTTTTTTTTTTGGTTTTTCTCCGGTACCGGGAACCGAACCCACGACCTTGCGCTTGGGGAGATAATAATGTTATTCTTCTTATATCATAGATGATGAAACAGAGATCTGAATCTGAGCAATAATTAATGTAGTTTTTAGATCGAGACCTCAGTTTTTTCTCACTACATCTCATTATCTAGTTTGGATGAGGGCGTCAGTATTGGCTAAAGGCAAACAGGAAGAATTCTAGATGCAAATGCCCAGCGGCCTGAGGCCTGGCTCTGCTGATTGCTGGTTGTGTGACCTTGGGTAAAATTTTAATCACTTGGCTTCAAGTATTATTCTTCTGTATTGCTAAATAATTCCATACCTCATAAGACTCTTGTAATGATTAAATGAACTAAAGCCTGGCTAGCTGTTAGCAGGCATTTAGGATCATGCTCTTGGTCTGACATGCCAGTTAGTGTTATCATTAGTATCTCAGAATGCTGATGCAACCTTCATAAACAAAAAGAAATAAAGAAATGAATCACTCATCTGTCTTGCCCCACGCTCCTGCCTCTTTTAAACTGCATCTTTGAAGCAGGGGTGAAATGGGAGGGTAAATTGCCTCTGTCGGTTATTGACCTCCCTACGTTCCCCCTCTAGTTGTTTTCTTCTCTCCTTTCTGTTTGTCCATTCCAAAGCCACACTTATCATGCGTAGGCACTGTACTCACAAGATTGCAAGTGAAGTCTCGTTTGTATATTCTAAAAGATAAATGCAGGGGGCTGGGGATTTAGCTCAGCAGCACAGCGCCTGCCTGGCAAGCGCAAGGTCATGAGTTTGATTCCCGGTACCAGAAAAAAACTAAATAACTAACTAAATAAATAAATAAAAGATAAAGGCAATCTGCAGTTTGATTAAATAACTAAATTTAGACTTGCATAAAAATGCACAAAAACTCATTTCAATCTTTCATTGACTAAATAAGACCCATAGGCACTATTTCTCTCATTTTGTTTGTTTTGAACGTCTCTCTTTTTTCTTTTTTTTGTACTGGGAATCGAACTGAGGACCTTGTGCTTGCCAGGCACGCAGCTGTGCCTCTGAGCGGTATCCCTGGCCTTTTGACTGTCTCTCGGTTCATACTCAGTATAGGTTTTCCCAGTGTTAGCTTCATGAAAGGCAGACTGATTATTTCTGCACAACTCCAACACTATTTCTTTGGTGACTTAGGTTTCGAATATGGTGGTCAAAACATGAATTTCATTTGGGAAGGGTCTGATCCTGGGCGTTTTGTAGAGTTGAGCCAGGTGGAACTAAATGGCAGGTTTTGAGAAGGGTCAGTGTTTTCTGGTGATCTGGATTGTTTCTTTTATCCTCCCCAGACCATCGAACAGTGTATCAGAAATGGCGTTCGGTGAGAGGATGAGACCACATACTTGCCACTCAAATTGCGGTCTATTGGTGGATATCAGAAAGCAAACAAATGGCTGAGGGTGATGAAAGTGTAGAGCGGGTACCAGGAGTGCCTATATCAGATGTAGAGAGTTCTCACGGATGGCGACATCTAAGCCGAGGCCTGGCAGGTCAGAGTTTGCTGGCAGAAGGAGGGGGCAACTGTTTCAGCCTAGTAAACAGAAAAAGGGAATGAACTTAGCAGGCTTGTGAGCTGCAGAACTCAAGCAGAAACCTGGTGAGAAGGGGACATAAGGAAGGTTAGGACCAGAATAAGTAGTGAGTGTAGCAGTGAAAACTCCCATTCTACTCCCAAATCCTTGAAAGCTGAAGTGACTTCCACTGTACCCCTTTCCCTTCCAAGGGACAGGTATATTTTCTTTACACTTAGGCTTTCTGGAGACTGAATAAAAATGACTACAAATTTACTATGTGCCAGGCATAATGTTGGTTACCTTGTATGGATATCAATTTATTATAATCCTATGATGTAGACAGTATGGTTCTGCTATACTTTGGGCAGAGGTACTGAGTCAAAGGGAGTTAAATAATCTCCTCCAGGAAACCCAACTAATGACAGACAGTCAGGACCAGAGTCCAGGTAGCCTGACTCCAGCTTGTCCCTTTCACAAAGAACATTTGCAGTATTTAGATACTTGTGTGCGAGGTTGGAATGTTTGTAGAGCTTTCAACACCATGCCGTGGAGAAAATGCTCCTGATGTTTGCATTAAGATGTTGATTTACTTATTAGGGAGAAGGTAAGGGCAGTATTTAACTGAAACATACTCATGAGAAAAGCATAGGGACTGGGTGAGTGGCTGAGTGGTAAAGCGTGGATTTGATCCCCAGCACTGTGGGGGGCATTCTTAAGCCCCAAATTATAGGATATTGTAAACTGTGGTCATTTGTCATGGAACTGGTCACTGCCCCTTTAAGGCAGTGACAGTGCCTGCCTGGTACTCTACAGATGATGCATTTTGCTTTGCCCTTTTAGCACTGCTACTCTTCCTTTTTCTTTCTTTCTTTCTTTCTTTCTTTCTTTCTTTCTTTCTTTCTTTCTTTCTTTCTTTCTTTCTGCCTTGCCTTTCCTCTCCTCTCCTCTCCTCTCCTCTCCTCTCCTCTCCTCTCCTCTCCTCTCCTCTCCTCTCCTCTCCTTTCCTTTCCTTTCCTTTCCTTTCCTTCTCCCTCTTCGCCTTCCCTTTTCCCTTCATCCCTTCATCCCTCCCTTCCTCCTTTCCTTTCCTTCCTTTCTTCCTCCCTCCATCCCTTCCTTTTTGAAATTCAAAGATATAGTTTTATCTTGATTTTTTCAGGATTTTATTTTGTTGTGCAATTTTTTGACAGCAAAATTTCCCCTTTTAGTAAACTATGTGATACCTTCTGTCCCCATACGTGACACACCTTTCTTAGACTCTCTTTCAGAAGCCCCTAAATTAGAATGCCAAGGGTGCACTCTCACACTGGATGCATGTGCCGAAGCATAAAGTGAAGTCTTGGAAATTACATCACATTTTCAAAGAAGAAAACAAAAATGTAAGATGGGGGAAGGAAATAGCTTTTTTCCTTTTTAGGGCAAAGGCTGAATTTAACCATTAAGGACTTTATTACTGACACTCAACATGCCAACCTCAAAAATACCATTGCCTTGTTAATATTTGCAATGTGCTCACTTTTCAACTAAACTCTACTCTTTTGTAGCAGAAACCATTTCTATTACATTAACTATTTTCAGATTTGACAGATATACTCAGAATACCAGTTGGAAGAAGAATCAGATTAAAATAAAAAACATTGCATCAGCTAGGCGTGATGGCACACACTTGTAATCCCAGTACTTTGGGAGGCTGAGGCAGGAGGATAGCAAGTTTGCACCACCCTGGGCAATTTAGCAATTTAGGACAACCCTGTTCCCTCCAAGAAAAAATAAATTAGAAATTCAAACAAACAAACAAACAAACATTGGAAATGTATCTCAGGGTGAAACACCTGGATTTAATCTCTAGTTCTGCAAAAACACAAACTGAAATAATGAAAAGCAAAAAATTGTGTCATATCATATGAGAAGGAAAATAACTGTTTGCAAACAAAAAGATTTTAGGAATATCATTCATTAGTTCCTGGAATTCATTTTTTGTGTTATTTCAATTTTTGTTTCTTTCAAAAAAAAAAAAAAAAAAAAAACCTGTTATATTGGACCAGGCCATCTGCTGTTCACATACCATCTCCACTGTCTTCCTTGGGAAAATACTTCTCAGTTATTCTGATCAAGGGTGGGAGATATCCTTTTGCCCACTCTACTTGTAATCAACTGTGAGCTTCTAGAAGCAGGCAAATTGATTGACTCTCTCCTCCCCAACTAGCCAAAAGAGCAGGTCATACGTCATCCTGCCCCTTTGAAAATTCCAACTCAGTGATTGATTTTATGACTGTCAGCAGCAGCAAATTCCTCAGCGAGAATTCTAGCAGGTGAAAAAGTATTTTCTCTACTTGCTTTAAATTTTCTTAGCATTACCTTCTTTGACTGGCCCAGCCTCTTATGGGAAAATGGAATAAGGATCTATCAGTTTTACTGCCTAGTATCTATCTTTAATGCCTAAGCAAATCTCTCTTATTTTCTAGTTCAGAGTTAGTTAGCAATTCTAACTTTCAAAATCTCCCATCATGAACAAATCTCTATGACACTCGCTTTTCTTGCCCTACCCTGGTACTCAGCCGTCTCTGCACTACATTACTTGAGATGTAGGAGTGAAGGATAAAGATGATGATCCAAATGAATGTGCATGATTCTCCCTTAGAAATGCTATTGTATTAGATTCTCTTGATTGCTCTGTACAAAAATGGGTAATTCATCAAACAAAATAAAAAATATCCTTTGGAAAACCCTTATCTAGTTCTTCCTCATGCACAGTGTGGTATCACCCCCTTATAGCATTGTATAGCTGAGGATTTACTTTTTATTTTTTTATTTATTTTTTTATTTTTCCACAGCGCTGGAGATTGAACCCAGGGCATCATACGTGCTAGGCAAGTGCTCTATCAATTTGCTACACCCTCAGCCTTCCCTAGGATACTTTTCAGTCCATGAAAAAGTTGTGAAAGGAACTTTGGCACATCTTTATTCTAATTTCCATTTTCCTTGGAATAAATCTTTTTAGCAAATAAAATAAACACTTTTTAAAAAAACATTTTGTTTGTTTGTTTGTTTTGTTTTTTTCTGGTACTGGGCATCTAACTCATGACATCGTGCTTGCCAGGCAGCAGCTGTGCTGCTGAGCTAAATCCCCAACCCCAATAAACACTTATTTTTTAAAGAAGTAGACACATCAAGAATTAGATTTAATGAAACAAACAACAAATGTAGCTATCTAAAGACCATATTGTCTCTAGATTTTTCCCAAATATTCTGCTTCTCCCTTTAACCCCTAAATAATATTTTTAGTATCTCCTTTTAACTTATTTTTCAATATAAGTAGTAAGTTGGAATTACTTGGTAACTAAAGAAAATTTTTATAAGATTTTCAAATGTTAAATAGAAAATTATATCTTAAGAAAACATATTTTGAAAACAAAGTAAGAAAATGGACTGGGGATACAGCTCAGTGGCACAGCACCTGCCTCACAAACCCAAGGTCATGAGTTTGATTCCTGGTAACCCCTCCACCAAAAAAAAAGTAAAGAAAACATATTTTGTCATTTATTTAGTAAGACATATGTGAAAGAAACCTGATACTTCATGCTTCTCAAGTAAATTGAACTTTGAAGCATAATTGAATTGGAGGAATCAGGGTTCAGAATCTCTCTCTCTCTCTCTCACACACACACACACAACCAAAGAAAAGGCAAATATCAAAACAAACCTACGGTTCAAATGGGCATATATGCTGAGACAGGGTTGATTTTCATTTTATTTTAATTTTGAAATTTTGGGGAAGAGAAGCAAATGGGAAAGAAGTAATAAAGGAAGGTAAAGAGCGTTTGCAGAAACATCACAAACAGGGGCTGGCTCTGCCTCCATCCTTTTCTCTTGTTCTCTACCTTCTTTGTTTCCTTCAGTCTTCTCCTCTTTCCTCATTTCCTCCTTCCTGCCTTCATTCTCTGCCTTTGCCTTCACATTTATTAAAGACTATTGAGCATCCACCACATGTACATATTGAGCTAGATATCAGGATACCATAACAAGAGAGATATGGTGTTGAATTTGCAAAGTAGGACCAAGCAAACAAAAAGACATTGCAGTAGAAATAATGATAAAGAACTAGGAAAGCACAAATACGAGCACCCATCATAGGTGAGAGATTTCTGAAAGTTTCCTATGAGAAATTATGTTGAAACCAGCATGTGAAGGATGGGTAAACATGGCCAAGGGAATTAGGAGAAGAAAAAAATCACCTGTGAGTATAAATAGCCAATAGCAGAGGAGCTGAAGTAAGTCCATTAAGGCTGGAAGGCGGTGGTCTAGGTGGAAAGTTCTACAGTGAGGCCATGGTGTCTTGGAGTACAGGCTATTGTTTGGAAAATGAAAGAAATGCCAGTACTTATAGAGAGTTACTTATTTGGGATGAGGCTCAGGCTAGGTTGGGGGATATAACTCAGGGGATAGCACTTGCCTCCTACGCACACGGGAGTGGATTTGCTGTCCAGTAGGGCAACAAAGATATACACCATTCTTTTTCCTAAAACTAGTAATGGTTAGGTAGAGTTGTAATCATTGTAATACAAGTCCTTGAAATATCTTTAGAATTTCAAAGAAGAGAATGTTAGAAAGTCAAGAATACATGCAACATCTGTATCCTTGTCACCGCTTTCCTAAGCAGGAACCTGTGAATGTGATACGGGGCATTCGGGGATGTTGGCTGGATGAAGTGGAGGTTACCATGTTGAAGAACTGGCAGCATGACTTACCCCACAGGAGTCGAGGGGTTTTTCTTTCAAGGTGTTCTTCTTGGCATCAACCACCTACAACTTAGAGAGATCACGGCAACATTTTTTCTTAATACTTAATATTTTTACTACTAGCCTGCAAACTCTTTTTGGTAGTCAAAACAATAAAAGTCATGAAAATGAAGGACTTTGGGATTTTCTACTCAGAGGCAGTGTCACTGTGTTGACAATAAGAGGAAATTAAGTCAGGGTCATATTCCCTCTGCTCATCCAACTATGGGTACAGAAAGATGACTGCATGGCTGGGATCATACCTGGACGTAGAAGCCTCAGGCCCCTTTTTCTCATGCTCCACTACATCTCCAATGCTGAAAGCAGACTAAGGGGCATTTGGCTTCAAGCAGTAAAGAAAATGTGCAGGAAAAGGCTTTAGCAGAGTTCGTTATGTCTTTACTTGATGAAGGCCCGACCTGCTGTCCACAAGGAGTGTACTCTGGGCCCACCCCTGTCTGCCTCTCAACTCACTCTCAATCTTGTGAATCAGTTCAACTTCCCAATGCAACAGGCTTAACTATGTGCAAGTGTGTCCGTCTTAGCTGAGCTTCTCATTGTGCTTTTGTTTTTGTTCTTTGGCCTAATAGAGGAAATGCTTAGGAGAAATATTGGAAATGTAGATTCTCTTTTGCAAATGTCAGAATACATTCTAAAGCTTGAGTAGAGGAGTCAATGTGTAGCTTTCTATACTATCATGCAGTTTAAGGCTTCATTTTTTTTTTCCCTGTGGGATCACTTACAGGGTTTTGCCCATGTTAGGCAAACACTCTACTACTGTGCACTCTGCTCCCTCAACTCCTTTGTAATAACACACACACACACACACACACACACACACACGCACGCACACACACACACGCAGGCACACAGACATAGAGTTGTAGCAAAGAATGTGTGCTGGGTTTCCAAATAGCCATGACTCAATCATGTCTCTACCTTGACAGACAGGTTTTTCTTTGTCTTTTTTTTTAAAGACAGGGTCTCTTTATGCAATTCAGCCTGGGCTTGAGCTCACTTTGCAGCCCAGGCTGGTCTTGAACTTGCAAAGATCCTCCTGCCTCAGCCTCCCCAGTGCTGGGATTACAGGTATGTGCCACCATGCCCGGTGACAGTTTTTTTTTTTTTTTTGATTCAAAGGATGAAATGATATTCAGTTATAGCTTCATGCTTAAGGCAAATATAATTCTAAATTTTGGGGATGATGTTTCTTTCAAGGGACAGACAGAACACAATGTTTTGCTTATTCATATTTTAAAACGGTTTGTAGCTCATATTTGTTATGGTTGATACATTGTGTCAACTTGGGGAGTCTAGAGGTTTGGCAAAGTGACTCAGCAGGAAGCCAGGGCGCTTACTTTGTATACATCCTGAGCCTGTGGAAGAGGAGGGCATGGAGAGTATGTGAGAGCTACAGGCCCCTTAGGTAGGGTAGCCTGTTTACAATGTAAGGCAGGGAAAGAAGCTGCTTGCCGCCACTCCTCCCTTTTGCTCTGGCTGTTTGCTGTTCGGCTGCCATTCCCCTCTTTGCTCTTGGTGCTTTGCTATCTTCTGCCTCGAGCCAGCCAAGTATGGACTGAAATCTCCACAAACTGTAAGCTAAATAAACCTTTCCTTCCTTCATTTTGGGCGTTGGGTATTTTGTCTCAGCAACGAGAGAAAACTAACCAAGACAGTATTTTATTTTTTTATTTTTGTAGATCATATTTTAAAAGATCTGAAACTGGAGTTATATTATTAAACTATTATATATGTTTTGAGGAGGACAAGGAACAAGATAATACGTGCATAAATTTGGAATTAAACAAGCCAGCCTTTTACTATGAAGAAGTGCTTCGTTCGGAAGGGAATTTTGCATGAAAGCAACTTTAGCTGGACAGCTTGGAGTCTTTCTGTGCAGGTGATATGCTTGTCAGGCATATTGCATTGGATAAACATTGTGATAACATTGTGATCACCTGTGTATTTATACCCTCGCTGGGATGCCTCATGGAGCCTCCTGCAGGGAAGGTCCTCAAAAGAGAATTAAATGGCTGATCCAGCACAGCTGGTGTCATCAAAGCAAGCTGAAATACCAAGCCCCAGCGTCCATGCCTGACTCCACCATTAACCCCTTCCCTGCCTATTTCCTGCTTCAGATAGAAGAAAAAATGTTTTGTAGTGGGAGTAGCTGACTCAGTAGCAATGATGACAAGAAGAGCTCAATGACAACAAAGACTACACAGCTGCTCTGCACGAACGTCGGTGCTAATAGCTATTATTCTGTGTAATCCTTCAGTAGCTAGAGCAGGAATTGTCTTATTTCTATTTTAGAGCCAAGAAAACTGAGGCTTACAGAACTGCCTAGGGCTATAGAGCTAGTAACCAAAGCCAAGACGCCAAGTCCATCATCCGAATCTGGATTCTGTGATGTTAATCAGTATTCAGATTCACTGGGCTTACCTTTTAGTTCTGGAAAAGCAGAGGGACTTCTCTGGGCCCTAGTGTATCCAAAGCAAATTTAGAGTGAGCAACGTAGCTTTCAGTTAAATCTTTTCCTTTTCTCACAGCTTTTCACTAACAGTACCAGGAACTGTCATAGGTACTTTAGGGCAGAGGTCTGCTAACTCTGGGGCCAAGGATCTAGTCTTGGGCAGCACAGTAGGAGTGAGTGAAGCTACCTTTGTACTCACAGCTGCCCCCATCACTTCCATTACCTCCTGAGCTCTGCCTCCTTTCGGATCACCCATAGGAGCGTGAGCCCTACTGTGCACAGGGACCTAAGTTGTAGTGCCCTTTGAATCACCCGTAAACCATCCTACCACTCCCATCTGTGGAAGAATTGCCTTCCACCAAACCATTTCCTGGTGCCCAAAGGGTTGGGGATCATTGCTTGAGTGAGATGAGGGAGATAGACGAGAAAGGCTCCACCTCTTCTGATCCCTTGCCCTTTATCTCCTCTCTTTCCCACAGGACTGAGGGGCTGAACCATCCTATAACCTGGCTGTGGCTGGCCTTCTGGGGGACTCCGGTACGCCTTCATCTCCTGCACTTCAACTTTGCAAACCCACCTTGTCTGTCACTCTTAGGCAGGGTTCTGAGCTTTGCTGCACATTTTTGATGCACAGTTAATAAAACATATTCTGATCTAACTATGTCCTTAGTGTCATGTGATATTAATATGGATGCAGCTCATAATTAGTGAGCACCTGCCTTATGGCCATTCACCCTGCAGAATTTATCAGGTTTCATTGTTTACTGTTAGTTTAAAAAAATTCCGTATGCTCTGACCTTGTGACACTTAAACTTTGCTCACGCAGTTAAAACAGGAAAACCAGTTATTTGATATCATGAAGGTAAATCAGCTGGTAGGCACACTCAGATGTTTCCATCCCCACTGGTATGATGGGGAGACATATATTATTAATTAGGAATGCACAGGAGAGTATTTGTTTTTAGTTCGTTAACTTCCAAAATCCAATACAAAGAAGATATAGCAATAGTGCATTGAGTTTTCATTGTCAGCATGTATCCTTCTGTCATCATGCAAGAACTGCTCCAAAGTTAAAAAAATAACCCACACATATTGCTTAATGCGGCCCTCCTCCCACACGCCTGTGGAGTCTTCCGAGCAAAGGAAAAACACGAGCTTTAGTCAGGCCCTCAGGGTGAGGAGTCTACTCACATGTGCTGGTGCCAGTTAGCTGAGGTGTTTGTGGAGCAGGCTTTGGCAGGCCACCAGAGAGAGAGTATTTCATAATTCAGGACTCACCCCTGAGGATTCTACACTAGCCAGATACTAATAAGAACCTAGGGCTGGGAGAAGAGGGAGGAATTTATTCCATGCACCAAGATGTTGGAAGAAGAAGTAAATTCACTGCATCAGGTTTCTTTTTCAGGCTTGCTTTCCTTTATTTTTAGCTTCTATGCATTTGTCTTTTCTCACCAGATTTCACAGTGTATTAATTTGTTCTGTTGTTAGTGCTCTTGAACGTACTGTCGCATAAATTCATCCCTTAAAATGGCACTGGGTATTTGGGCATGGAGATGCTCCTTTATATAATAGGATGTTAAAATAGTTAACATTTATTGGGAGCTTACTTGTACCACGTGCTGTGGTGAGATATGCATGGAATATCTCGGGTAATTCTTGGAACTCTAGCATCTGACTAGTGTTACCAAGTCTAATTACAGCTGAGGAAACTGAAACATAGAAAGGTCACAAAGCAAGGACACAGCCAAGCTAAGAGAGAACCCCTGTAGCTTGGTCAAGTCCACCCTCCCAGGCAAGCCTGGTCAAGTGACCCTGAGACCTTCCAGATGGAGCCAGCCCTTGCCTCGGTGCCTGCTAGTAACTGCTGGGAGGACCAGAGTCTCCATCCCGACTAAGTGCCTGTTGTAATGATAATATGTTCAAACCACCAGAAAAGGTCCTGAATAGGAAGCCAGTTTGAAAGTTTCTTATAAAACTAAACATAAAACTAAACATTGACTTTGCAATTCAGTAATCAGGCTTTTTAGTATTTACCCAAATAGACTGGAAATGTATGTTCATGGAGAGGCCTGGACATGAATGTTTTAGTAGCTTTATTCATAATTGCCAAAATGTGGGATCAAGCAAGATGGCCTTTGATAGGTGAATGGGTAAACAGACTGTAATACATCCAGACAGTGCATGTTATCCATCCATGGAAAGAAATGAGCTAGGAAGCCATGGAAAATCATGAAGACTCCTAAATGCATATTTTTAAATGAAAGATCTGGTGAAAAAATGCTACATGCTGTATGATTCCAAGTGTAACATTCTCAAATACGCAAGGCTGTGGGACAGCGAAAAACTCAGTGATTTACATGGCTTTGAAGAAGGAGGGACACATTAGCAGAATATGCAGGAATTTTTAAAGTTGTGGATGTTCTCAGTATGTTAGAGTAGCTGTGGGTATGTCATTCTACCTTGGTCAAAAGCCACAGAATATACCACCTGAAGAAGGAACCCTAATGCAACTATAGACTTTCGTTATTAAGAAGATATCAATACGGGCTCATCAAGTGTAACAAATGCACCACTCTAATGTAAAATGTTCATGATAGGGAAAGCCAGCAGGGGAATACATGAGCACACTCTGTACTTTCTATTTACCTTTTCCGTCAACCTGCTCAGATTTATTTATTTATTTGCAATATTGTAAATTGAAACCAGGGCCTCACACATGCTAGCAAGTGCTCTACTAGTGAACTACATCCCTGCTCCTTCTTATTTTATTTTGAGACACAGTCTCCCTAAATTTCTTTGGCTGGGCTCAAACTTGTGATGGCCCTGTCTCAGCCTCCCAAGTAACAAAACCACATGTGTATGCCTATCGTCATATTAAGCATTTGCTTTACCGCTATGCTACTTCTCAGGCCCTAATTAATTTGTTTTTTTGTAAAAGACCTTGGGGAGATTAGGTGGCAGGGATTAGAAGGTAGGACTAGAAGAGTATTTTTCAACTCTTTCTACATTATGGCCGTTTCTATTAGTTACTCAAAACAAATCAACTTTTAAACAAAAAAAAAAATACTTAACTGTCTTGACTTGCATAGTCACAATAAATTTAAAAATTCAAAGCAATGGGTCTGGAAGCATAGCTCACTAGTAGAGAACATCGTTAGCATGTGTGAAGCCTTGGGTTCAGTTCTCAGCAACAACACCCACACACAAAATGTAAAAATAAAAACGCACCAAAAGAAAGAACTGTCAATTATGAGCATGATCTTATGTGTGACCTTGTTTTAATGTGGAGATTTTTGTCTCCTGTATTCTTGATGCCTTAGGAGCAGTAGGCTGGGATGACCCACTTGGTAAGGACGTGGTAGGGTATACCCAAAAAGTCTGGCCTTTCTTCTGCCATCTTCCTCTGTTCTTTAGCAGTACACACTTACATTTATTCCTCAGACACTGTGGGAAACTCCAGTTAATCAGGCAAGACAGGGCATGGGAGAATTGAAGAAAAATAGAAGTAAGGACACATATGTGCACAGAACGTGAGAAAGAGAGAGAGAGAAGGAAGGAGGGAGAGAGTGGGAATGCAATTTTGATGGATCAGTTAGGAAACTGATGTGGTTCTGCATTAAAAGTTTGGTCTTGGCAAGTGATTCTCCAGAATGAAAGAAGAATACTTTCAGATTTTCCAGCAAAGAGCAGAGCTGGAATTCTTTCTGATTCTCCTCAAACCTTGGAAGGAATACTAAACCCAAAACACAAAAGGACTAGCTCCTATCTGCCATCATTTCCTGCATCCTCACTACCAGGCCTGGTAGACACCATTAATCATACAAGGCCTCCATCTGTGAGCCTGTCATTTGGGCTACTCCCCATGGTCACAAAAGCAGATGACAGGCAAATGCCAAACGCTTGGCTGTGTGGGTCTTCAGTGGTGTCTGGGTAGAAGAGTTACTTCTCTTTACGTATATTTTAATTTTCACCAAATCCGGTTTCCTTTACAGGAGATAGTTATGTTTACAGAGAATGGAATAAATGCAATTGCACTTGGTTGTTTGTTTGTTTGTTTGTTTTTTTAACCAAACTGAAGATATTACAAGTTTTAAATGTCGCTGGGCAGTGTCAATAGATTTGGAACATGTGCACATTCATGCCCTAAATTTGATGCAATTAAGAGCAACCTGAACAACTTGTTTTTCTATCTAACAAGTTGCTGAATATTTGGTTTTAAATACAGAATCACAAAATCAGCCAGGGCAAGAACTTTGCTCAACTGTATTACACAAAAATAGCTTAAGCATGGAAACTTCTCGCTCTGCTTTGTTCTATCCCAAGGAGCCAAACTGTGGACCCCTTCCTAGGCCTAATCAGCTTTCAGAGATATGCCTCGCCCTTCTCACAGGTGCCTGAGGTGTCTGGCTTCGGGGATCTTGCACAATAACTCTTTCAGTGGTGCCAGGGTTTATCCCCAGGTACAGATACCACAAAGTTATGATCCTATTTCTGTTACTAAATTAATAATATCAATAAGTAAACAATATATACCTGCTCCCAAAACCCCACAGATTCCAAGAGACATCTCTGCATCCGTGTATTTTCTCCCGGGGCAGAAGTGAATTTGGGCTGTCTGCTCCTACCTGCTCTTGCTGAGGGGTCTCACCACAACTCAGCATTCTGAATTCATTGAGGAATGAGTTATTGTCACAAAACAAAAGATGCTAGCTGGGCCTCGTTCTCAACTTTGGCTTCATTCATGCCATCCTCTAATTAACTAAACCTCTAGATCCAGATATAAAGAACTTACATTTGGAACTCTCAAAGATGAGATTTCCTTCCCGAAGTGATTACTTCGCTCATTTACCAACATCATGCTCTGTTTCTGCCACATGTCAAGTGGTTTACACATTTTATTTAACTTCACTATTTCTACAATGCTTTGTACCATGTTTTAACTTGGCAGTGCTGGGGATCGAGCCTACGTTGCCTTTGTACTGAGCTATCTCCTTATTTCTTCTTTTAAATTTTTTTTTTTTTTAATCTTAAGACAGGGTCTTGCTAAATCACTAAGTTCCTCAAGCCAGGTTCAAACTTGTGCCCCTCCTGGTACAGCCCCAGTGTACTGGGATGCGGTTATTGTTATTTATGTTTCAGAGATGAGGATGCTAACATTTAGACAGAGCATAGTAACTTCATCATCTTCTTCAGCAGCAGCAATTGCTGCATATGCAGCAACAATATTGCTTATCTTGGAGAATTTACTCTCTCCCTGAAATGTGGAAAATATACCATTTTAGGAATCTTCAAACAAGTCTATAAATTAAGGGTTATTAATATCCCCATTTTACAAGTGAAGAAACAGGGGCCTAGAGAGTTAATGAACTACCCAAAGACAGAGAACGCATTATACAGAGGTGCAGGAGGTAACCTCACTCTAACACCATCGGTTTTCCCAACTATAATTCCTGGAAATATAGGAGAGTAAAAGTAAATGTAAGTCCAGAGATGTAACTCAGTGGCACAATGCCCACCCAGCAAATGCGAAGTTCTGAGTTTGAGTCCTGGTACAAAACAATAAAGTAAATTTTAAAATTATCTTTTTAAGACAAGGCAAGAAACGTTAAGACAAAGGAGAAAAACCACAAAATCTTACTGTGACTGGAAGGTTAAAAATTT